TCTCGCCCGCTCAACAATGAGTCTGTCGATACACTAGCGTTGAACAAGATGGTCGAGTCAGCCCCCCTGTGACTTGGGCCCATTGTGGGTGGCGCGCCAAACTTCCCAATGGGTTTGTTGTGCATTTCTACTGGTTGTTTCCCAGACATTGTGTGTGGGATGTTTGGAGTGGGTTTCATAGACAGTCAAGCGGTCGGTGCCTTTAGCCATGCGCTTGACGTTCTCTAAGGCCGGGTAGGAGGTGCGGAGACTCGACCTGATGTGGTGGCGTGTGAGCAACTGGATATCTTTTTCTGTTCGCAGGTCCCTGTGTGTCATCCTTTAATGTTAGCCTTACTTTATTCGAGGATGTTGGTAGCTTTTGGGTGGCGAAGAGTATCTCTTTCAAACTTTCCGCGCGGGTGCGGGCAGCTTCCCACACTCTGGACAAATGTACCAGAACCATTAGCACGGTTGTCTCTCCATCAGCTTAAGGCATTGTCGGGATACTTCAGTGTCGCAGGGGCAATGCGCCCATTGGTGAAAAAGGTTGCATGAAAATGCCTCACCAACCACCGAAAAGACTTTGGTGCGAACATGGCAGCAGTCGGATATCATGATGCAGCCTTCTTTCCATGAAGAAGGTGCTACGGATTGTGGCGAACTGCTGGTGGCAGCCTTTTCTTAACCCCTATACGCCGTCTCCTCTTTTCAGGCATGGTCTGGTCCTTGCCCTAGCCAGGACTAGTCTGTGACTTGCTAGTGTTACTGTGCATCACCTGTTTGATAGACGTGAGTTCTGGAAACATAAGTTGGCCGCTTCTTTAGAAGTTCGGTGTTCTGCCCTACCTCTGTTTGTCTTTGGGTACAGACTGGAGTGTTGTTTCTGGTGTTATTGTCCCTTTTCTTGCACGACCCCGTTGTCCGTGTTAAAGCTTTGGATCTATTGTTTGGGGCAGACCTGTCACTATTATGTAAACTTCCTGAGAAAATAAATATTTGGCAGGGGTAAGGAGGTTGGAGAATGAATGTGGTAAAATGACAGAATAAGTAAAGGAAGACAATTTATGTTGGCTTACCTTGAGACACTTGTCACTTGCTCCTCTGCCCTTGACCAACGAGTTTAACCCTAAGCCCCATAATGTGTACGTAAAACCAGGAATGACCTATCCTGCGGAAGGGCCTCTGAAGAGAGCTGACAGCTAGGGCAGCTTGGCAGTTGAAACACTCAAGAACCACTGACAGGAGGCAGGTTGAGTGGTTCAAAGAGATAACAATGCCAATTTTCAACTGTTGAGAAGTGGGTTGACGAATACGCAGCCGTGAAGTGCGTGCAGGAATAGGAGTGCTGCAAACGTTCCATTTTTTAGGTTGAGTATTCCAAGTGGAAGTTTTTCAGTGTGGAAAAATCCCAAAGTTGAGGGACGAGCAATGACGTTTAGCCTCATCCGTTTTCCGATAATCAGGAACGTATTATGTGAGGAACTACCTTTCGATAATATCGCGCCAGAATGTTTCAAGTTTCTACATGCGCCTGCCGCAATACATAATTAAAGGAACCGGTTTCTGGGGCCCAGATGTGACGGGTCGAAAAAAATAGTTCCCCGTACTTTCGTTGTTGATATCACAAAGACTACTCAATACTGTTCATGACGCAAATTAGTGGGAATATTTGATGAACAAACACCAAGTGGATGTGATAGCCAGAAAGTCAGCCTCCTTCCAGAGTTGGTTTACCTCTCGACCATTTTCATTCTTAGGTTGTTCTACGTACCTCTTGGTCCTCCGGATGTCACCGGAACGACTCTGAAGTCATGGCACGATAAATTGGACGCCTTCTAACAAGGTATTGAGATAACCAGGCGTAAACCCAAGAGACAGAGGCGAACGGAGAGGAGATTCAAGCACTTGCTGTTAGCCCGTCCACGTCTGTTATTAGAACAGTTGAATGATGGATAAGAGCTCTCAACCTCGTCCTGGACCGGAGCAACCTGTGCTTGTTCCCAATCGGTGTGACTAGTGGACGTAGTTGCTCTGCGTCCAGCCTCTTAATGAGTAAAATGCTTATCGAAGGTATTCGTTCGCATTCTGACAACACAGTCTCCTTGGCTCAAACTCGTTTGAGGACTTCTTTTCCTTCTACTCCAGGTTACCTTAGTTGAGGTTAGGGGCTGATATGTGTAGTCCTAGTGTAATGGCTTTCTGTGAACCATGGTTCACAGAAGACGTAAAAGGCAGGGGAATTCAAGTAGAAGAGCTCAATTTAATCCGGAAGGAACACATCAGAGGGATCAGGAGGCGATATCGCTTTTCAGATTTATCCTCCTCTGAAAGCTCATGAGATTTTCTTCCAGAAAATTATCACTAAAGTTGCGCTCTGGTGTAGCACTGGATGATGCAGAGGCTCCCGCATGGTTGGGATTTTTTGTGTTACTCTACTGCAGCCACTAATACGTCAAGCGGCAAGGTGATGCAGTCCATTAAACGAACTCTGAACCTGAACTTCCCCTAAATCCTCATTTTGTGGGATCTTAACTTCCTTGAGCCCTGCATCACTAAAAGTCCGTCTGCTATTTCAACAGATTTTCGGGAATTATTGCTGGAGAATATCTCGGCTGAACATGTTTTTCGGCATGGTCTCTGGAGCTTTGACGGCGTGGCATACCGGTTCGATTATGCCTTTACAAATCCGTTCCCTGGTGTAACCAGAATAAATGCCCTTAGCTTTCTAGGACTTCGTGACCATACATTTGTTTTCTGCAACTTTTCTATGTCCAAGCCACCTACCTATGATTAGCCATTAGTCGGAAATGATATGAGGACCGATTTTGAAAACGTCTGGCAAGATCTAGTCTACACTAACTCAATGGGATTGCCTGATGGGGCTGGATTCTAGATGGGGACTGGTTAAGGATACGATCCTTCAAAAAATAAGTAATAACGCTTCTCTGATCCCACTAAGAAACAGCAAGTTTGAACCCTCCCGTTTTTCGTCAAGCAGGTGTAAGTTTATGTGGCATAACTGATGATTTTAGAGTCGGTGGAGCGTCACTAATTGATCTAATCAGTGGCAAAATTACAAGGGTATCGGTGAACAGATGTACAATAAGAATCAGAAATGGCAGAGTGAACTTCTAAACACATCTGTGAACTCTGGAGGGGAACCATGGGGTGTTGTGCCTACCGATGAAACAGAGAAGCAACATTTCGGTGGTTTTGAAATCCTTCAAACTAACCCTGAGGCAGCAAACTTGCTGACTTTGGAATTCGAATAGAACCTCTGTCATCTGGGTGGGACAACCACATATTTGTCAGATACCCACATTAACGGGGGAATCTTAAGGACTAAAATCTGATTAAGTCTTCGGGCACTTACGGTATTTACTGAAGGGTACTCGGTGTGCCAGTGTTCTGAGCGCCCCTCTAGAAAGCCTCTTCAAATTTTCGTCCGTGGAAGGCAGGTCACTCCCTGACTGGAAGAGGGTGGCTGTCTTCCCAGGATGCAAAGGTGGAAACAAACTAAACTCCTCTTACTTCCGACAAGTCCCCATAATCTCTTTGGTTGCGAAGCTTTTGGAAAGAGCAGTGAATCATGGTTACTTGCCCAAGAACTCAATCTTAAATGAGTGTAAACACAGGTTCCTACCCAGAAGGTCAAGTACCAACAATCTGATTGTAGCTTGGAACAGGTGGCCTCTCTGCTGAGCAGAAAAAGCCCGTTCATGTCAGTTCAGTTGACTTTTGACAGGGTAGATCATGATATCCTGAATAAGGAGCTACTGCTTATGGGTATCCACATAAATTCACTAGGTTGGCTTAGTGAACACTTTTACACTAGGTTTCAGTCAGTTGGAGTTGGCTTCTCTCTATCCAACTGGCTCCCAATGCTCAGTGGTATGCTTCAGGGTTCTATTCTTGGTTCCCTACCGTTTCTTACGCTAATCAATGACCCGCCTGAGAACCTCAGTTAACATCCATTAATATCTCCCCATGATCTGAGGATTCGAGAGGAAATACAGGAACCAACGGATATTTTGGTTCTCCCGAAGGACGCTTCAGGGAACCTTAACTAAACCACTGAAAACCCGCTCTGTGTCAACTCGGGGAAGTGTAGAATGAAGAATGCTGACAAATATGGAAAGAGGTCCAGTTTTTATTCCCCAGGTGAAATAAATATGTCACGGAAACGAGGAGAATAACGTGGGAGTTACTTTAAGTGATACAATTATAGCTACAGTCCGTCGCCACCTCAAATCTAGCAAGACCAGTAGAGCCCCGGGACTTCTTTTTCGGACTTCAGGAAGTTAAACTGCAGTCATTTTCACCACAGTGTACGGACTTTATATTCGCCCTCAACTTGAAAGAAAATCGCTCGTGATGTCCCTGTACTTGAAGAGGGATATTGGCATCCTGGAACAGGTTCAGAGAAAGGCTAAGAAAAAGAGATTGGATTACCGTACGAATCTTACCTGGATAGCCTAGTTGCTCTTAATCTGCAGCCGGTACAGTACCGGGGGATCAGAGGGGATATGATCATGATGTATATTATTGCTCACAGTCCACTTCAAGGTGATAGATTCCACTCAAGCTTAAATCAGAAACATGTCTTTGAGGGCCATCCACTGTAAGTGGAGTATGAGGGAGTGTGTAAAGATATTCATGCTAACTCGTTTGCAGTTAGGGTACGTAAACTGTTGAACTCCTTTCCTGAAGAAGTCGTTACAACCGTCTCCTCTGATACTTTCGAAAGAAGCCTGGATGCACAGTAAGAGTCTTGTTGGACCAGCAAGCTGTACTTGAGAAGCTTCCTGCGATCGACAGATTAGGGGAAGAAGCACTACTTATAGAGATCGAATTAATTATTAATCTTTGTCTTTTCGGGTTTTCTGGGAAAAGAAAGACAACTGTGACCATTCCGATCCGGGAGAGTATTCCAATAAGACAGACGTAAAACTCAACTAACCATTGTTCTTTAATTTTACAACACGAAGTTTGAAGTTGGATGTTGGACGGTGTAGGTTATATCTACTGGCGCGACTTGCAGATATTTATGGGTTACAACTTCTCTGTGGGATGCTAGACTTTCTTAACTTAAGTAAAAGTGGATTTATGTGTGAATTATGTCGTGGAAATATAAAAGGAGAAAACTGCGTGCCACAATCTTGTACTCATATGTTTCATGTTGGTTGTTTGGAGGATTGGGCCAGTGAATTCGACTCTTCTTTGGAATTTGCTTGTCCAGTTCCTGGGTGCTCCTCATCTTTCAGTGATATATTAGTTCGCAAGACACCTGGTGCAATAAACTTTACTATAACATCGCTGAAGGGAAATCAGTGTCCGATATGTTGTGAAAGGATTCAAAAACCAGTTGCCACTCCGGAGTCGTGCAATCATGCTTTTTGTTACATGTGCCTAAAAGAATGGTCTCGTGTTAGACATGAGTGCCCATTAGATCGGGGTGCATACGAACTTATTTTATTATCTGATCGGGTTGGAGGACCTATAACAAAGCGGGTATGTTTAAATTTGTACTAGCCTTATGCAACTACTGGGTATCGCTTTCATAATGGTGTGAACAGTTTGACTAGATTTATTTTATATGTCTACTGACGTCCTTCGTTAGTGATGGCTAGTTTTTGGCACACTAAGCCTCTGCACAGCTGTTCATTTAGTCGTAACTGAAGTAGGACGACGTAAGTTTTAAAATCACCGTAATCTATTAAGTGGGTCGAATGCTAAAGTTCACCAGCGGAAACTAGCGGTAGGGTACCTTTTATAGTTTGCTTTGTCGACATATTATCCTCATTGAGTTTCATAGTATCGTAACAACTCTGTCAGCAATCAACTTTCCTCAGACTGCTATCCACCTCCCCCCTCATTACCTCCTAATCTTCCTCCACGTCTCCCAATTAACAATACTACATCATCTTTAATTTCTCCTAGTTCTGCAGCCTTTGACATCGATCTGAGTTCACGGAACAGCACTCTTAGTCTCCTTAAACTACGCTCCAAATTACATGTTGGAGTCTTCAATGTCCGCACCCTTCGTCATATTGGTCAACAGGCTTTGTTAGCAAAGACTAGCAACTCAGGGCATGGATGTGTACTGTGTTTGTGAGACACGCATACAGGACCCAAGTGCGGTTATTCACCTAACATCTCCGGGCCAATCTGGTGAATCCGCGAAATTCACCCTTCGAGCTTCTGGAGATCCGATAGCTAGATCTCGCAGTCTTGCAGGTGTAGGCATAGCATTAAGCACTAGGGCAGAAAGCTCACTACTAGACTGGATCCCAGTTGGAAGTCGCCTCTGCGCTATCCGACTGAACGGCACAATGAGAACTAAAAGGAATAGTGAGACTCACCGTTGTCTCTTTGTAATCTTTGCTTACGCACCCCCTGACTGCATCTGGGATGAAGTGAAGGACGAGTCCTACCGTAAACTGTCTAACCTACTCTCGAAAGCCAAACGCTCTGCCGTAGTGGTTGTTGCAGGTGATTTCAACGCACAGGTGGGTAGACTGAGTGAGGCAGAAAGGCACTTAGGTGGCACTTTAGGAGTTCCGGCTGAACGAACAGATAACGGTGATCGCCTATTACAACTATGCCCAGATAATCGCTTTTTTTATCCAGCACAAATTTCAGACATAAGAAAAGACACTGTTTGACGTGGCGTCCACCGAGCTCAACTCAGCGATGGACTCATAGACCACATTGCTATTAGTCATCGCTGGAGGGGATCGGTGGAAGACTGCTGCTCCTTCTGGAGTACGTGTTTGGATAGCGACCACGCGTTGTTGTGAGCTGGTAAATTCCCGCGTCTCAATGGACGTAAGAAAAATTCGGCTTCACAACCACTACAGGTGCTGCTGGACAGTGAAAACATCAAAGCCGTGTTCAGTGAGTAGTTGGCTAGGCAGTTATCGGAACAAAAGACTATCACTCATCCGGAAGAAGCTTGGTACCATCTCCAGTCTGCTGTAAAAGCAGCACTGAAGACCGTAGCCCACTCCGAAATAGTGGCTAGAAAGAACCAGTGGATATCAGCAGCTTCTTCCGAATCAACGGATGCACGTGAACGCATTCCTGCAGGCTCTGAGTACAATGAAGAGCGAGGGCAACTTAAAAGTAGATCGAGAAAAAGTCTACGCAACGATCGCGAACAGTGGTGGGCAGCGAATGCTAGAGATGAAAAAGGCAGCGGCGATTGGTAACAGTAGACAGTTATTTAGACTTACTCAGGAAACTGGGGGAAAAAGGTCGACTGCGGTTAGTTAGACTATAGCGGAGAAGGACGGATCTGGGATTCACTCGCAGGGGAGACGACTGGAACGATGGGCAGGACACTTCAAGGAACAGTTTAAATGGCCTCCAGCCATCATTGCGTTGCCCACTATCCAGTCGGATCATGAATGGGATATAGAGATAGGCCCCCCAACACTAAGAGAAGTTGAAAAAGGGGTAGGTAACCTAAAACAAGGATGGGCAGCAGGACCAGACGGACTAACTCCAGAGGTATACAAGGATGGTGGTAAGGTGCTCTTAGTCAGGTTAACGAAAGTGTTAGATAGTATATGAAAGTCAAATACGATCCCCTCTGACTGTTTATAAGTCACTGATTATCCGAGTCTTCAAGAAAGGCGAGAAGTCCTCTTGTGATAACCCCAGAGGAATCAGCCTGACGAGCATAGTGTCTAAGATTCTAGGTTCTATAATTCTTCGACGCCTGGGTGGAGCTCAGGAACAACAGGCCCGAGAAAACCAAGCAGGCTTTAGACCTGGCCGCGGATATATTGATCAAGTATTCACACTGCACCAGGTTTTGGAACACAGAAACGCTTACCGGCGCCCGACACTGTCTGTATTTCTCGACCTGAAGGCGGCATTCGACTCCGTTGATCGAGAAGTCTTGTGGCAATGTTTCTCAGTGAAAGGCGTGCCGAGTAAGTACATCACTTTATTGAGGGCTCTCTACTGGAACAGTTGCGGGCGTGTTAGAGCCTATGGTGAGATGTCAGATGAGCTGTACTCATCGAGTGGTGCACGTCAAGGGTGCCCACTCTCTCCATTCTTATTCAATTTCATCATCGATATTCTTATGGAGGTCTCCCTCTTGTCACCTGATTACACAGACGTTGACCTAACCGGTGGAGAATTTTCGTTTGACCTAGAATATGCAGATGACATAGTCCTGTTAGGCGAAGATGCTGACTAGATGCAAAATCTTCTGAACACTTTGAGTAGCAATTTGAGAATGTTTGGGATGCGTTTCTCACCACCCAAATGCAAATTGTCGCTCCAGGATTGATCTTCAACGGTGCACCACCACGGCTAACAATATGGAATGAAGTGGTTGAGTGTGTTGACCACTTCACTTCCCTGGGAAGTAGGATCAGCCCTGGTGGGTCAGTTGCCGATGAAATCTCTGCATGGATACAAAAGGCTCAATTGGGTTTCGCCAACTTACGCCACCTGTGACGCCGCCGTGATATCCGATTGTCTACTAAGGGTCGTGTGTACTGCACAGTAGTCCTCTCTGTTCTACTGTATGACTGTGAAACATGGTGATTGAAGGTGGAAGACATGAGAAGGCTTCAAGTGTTTGACCACTGTTGCCTTCGTAGTATAGGCCGCCGCATTCCGTGGTGTCACCATGTGAGTAATGCAGAAGTCAGGAGTAGAGTTTTAGGGAGAAGAGGTGGGTTGGCTGACGAGATTATGAACCTTGGTGGACTGAGATGGCTGGTTGGGACACGTGTTACGTATGCCTAGTCGTCGACCGCCTCGTCACACAATGTTGGCTGAAGTAGGTCCAGGCTGGGAAAAGGCCCGAGGTGGCCAGACTAAAACATGGCACCAATGCATGAAGTGTGTGACTGTTGGTTTGAGCCATGTGGGGGCGATGCAGACTAGGTGGTTGGGGTCCACAGGACAAGAGGAACCAGTGGTTGGAGACTGACTCTAGGTGATATGGCTCAGAATCGATGTCAGTGGCGCAGATGTATACATACATTATCCTCATCCTAACGATGCTATACCGAATCTCACCACTTTCTCATTCTTCGTTTCTCTCTTTTAGTACTTTATATTTCTTTTGACTGAATTTTCTTATCTTCATGTTTCACCTCACTGCCTTGTTTACCTGATGTACTGATATGAGGTGTGGCAACTCGGACAGTTACGCAGTAATGCCTGGTCCTATGTTGATATGGATGGATACATACTTTTAGTCCCCGTACATGATTCAACATTGACCGTGCAAGTTAAGTTAGCTTCATCGAGATGTCCACTCTGACGCTGACAGACCGACTGGAATGGACATGGTCATCACTTCGGAGCAATTTCATAGCACCACATTGTACGTCATCTCAGAAGGGTAGGGGATGTTGTCTTTTCCGATTGTGGACACTTTTGAACGCCTGATTTTATGTAGTCCTGACATTATTGAGCTCAAAATCATAATCCTTGGTCTACTCAACGAAGCTGGATGCTGTTGGGTTGGGTTTTAGAAGTGTTAGGCTGTTCGTTGAGTTGTTACCTCAACTAGTCAGCTATCTCCATGCTCCTCGAAGCCTGTACACTTAGCTTTGATGTGTACGCATTCACTGACCACTTTTTGTTTGACATAATTCGATATGAACTTCTGCCGTCACAGCATAATTTCCTAGCCAGGTTACTTATTTAGATTTGCCTTGTAAAACCCTACTGCTGCATAGGTTACAGATCATCTGGTAACTGGGAAAATCTCATTCTATATGGGATGCACACCATTTGAAGCAGGCTCTTTTTGTCTATGGTAAACCTTGCGTTTCACAAGTAACCCTAGGACGTTTCCTTGTTAGTCATATAATCATATGACTACTTTGGCACCCTTTCATATAGCACTCGATTCCCCTTCATTTGTGACCAGCGTTAGTGTGTTACAAAGTGCCAGTCTTGTGGTCGTGTTCCTTTAAAAAGTTCTGTAGATAAGTCTGTTCTTGAAAACACTGATTTAGTTGAAAGCTTAGGAATTCTTCACACGAGCTCTGTTTCAAACAGGTTCAAATTTGATTAGTTACGTACCTTCTGTAATGTTTTATAAAACAAATACAGCAAAAATATTCACACTCTACTTGACTCCGTTGCCTAACAATCCATGTTGTCTAACATCGCACCAGCAAAAGTTAACAAGAGAGAAGGTAACTAAGTAAAGACTATGCTATCAAAAGTTGTAGAAAGTCATAAGAACAAAAGCGAATCGCTAAAAAATAACTGGATTTGAAATAACGTCTAAGGAGAAGATGCCGTGTATTTTCTTCTGTACCACTCCATCAGATTCATATCACTTAGTTTCCGACCATTGATTTCGGTTGCCTCAATAACTCCAAATTGGAAGTTTACATTTCCGCACATGATTCGCAGCAGCTATCAAGAACTTCATGAATTGATGCCACGTTTTGGTTTGGAACCCTTAGCCTTTTACAACTTAAGACTACCTAAGCTTGAAATGTCAGAGAAAAACGGTAACTTGT